TGGAGGACTAGAGAAACAAAAGAATGAGACATAAAACCAAAAGGAAAATGACAAGTACAATCCAACTATATCCATAATATTAAATATGGATGGTTTAAATAATCCAATCAAAAGACACAGATTGTGAGACTGAAATTTTTTAAAAAAATCAAGATTTAACTCTTTGCTGTCTTTAGGAGACACACTTTAGATTTGAAGATGTAAAGGTTAAAAGTAAAAAAGTAAAAGGATGGGAAAAGATTATGGCAGAGAACCACCCTAAGAAAGCTGAAATATCAGAAAAAATAATTTTAAAGCAAAAAAAGTTACTAGAAATACAGAGGAACATTTTGTAATGATAAAAGTACCAATCACTCCAGATGATATAACAATTATAAACATGTATGACCCTAATAAAAATTATAAATTATGTGAAACAATAACAGAAGGCAGAAATAAACAATTTAACAATAATTGTTGGAAATTTTAGTATCCTACTTTTAATAATGGATATGTGAACTAGGCAAAAGATCAAAAAAGAAATAGAAGACCTGGAAAATGCCATATGCAAAATTTCTATACCAAAATCTCTAAAATATTGCAGAAAGAAATTGAATTTTAAATTGATTTTTTAAAATCATTCAAATGGAGAGGAATGCCATGTTTGTGGGTTGGAAAACTCAAATTTTATAAAGATCTTTATTTTATCAAATTAATCTATATGTTTATCACAGTCCAATAAAAATCTAGCATATCATTTGTAGAACTTGACAAAGTGATTCTATAATTTATATGGAAATACAAAGGATCTGTAATAACTAAAACAATCTTGAAAAATAATAAAATTGGAGGATTTCATTACCTGATTTCAAGATGTATTATAAAACTACATCAATTATGATAGTAAGGTAGTTATAAAAAGACAAAAGAACAATGATTACAGAATATAGTCTAGAAACAGACCCATATACGTATAGTCAATTTATTTTTGCTAAAGACACCCCAATAAAAATCAATGAAGAAAGGAAAGTTTTTTCAACAACTAATGGTGGAACAACTGGGCAAACAAATAGGGGGAAAAATGGACCTTAATCCCTACCTCATGCTATAAGCAAAAATTACCTTCAGTTGGATTATAGACCTAAAAATGAAAGCTAAAAATTAAAAAGCTTCTAGAAGAAAACAAAGAATATTTTCATGACCATGACTTTGACACTGATGACTTTTAGGATATAAAAAGAAATCACAATAAAAGAAAAAATAATAAATTGTTCTTTAAGTAAATTAAATTTATGCTCATCAAAAGACACCACTAAGAAAATGAAAAGACACACTGAAGAAAATATTCACTATACCTACTATACCTACAAAATATTCTTACATAAATTATATAAAGAATTCCTGAAACTACATAACAAAAAGATAAGCAGTCTAACATGAAAAAAAATTAGCCAAAGACTTGAGTAGGTACAACACAAAGACAGACATATGATTAGCCTATATGCACATGCAGAGGTTCCAATTATTAGTAGCAATCGGGGAGAGTAAAATTAAAGTCATAAGATTTACTATACTCGAAGGACTAAGATTTTAAGAGACTGATAATACCTAGTGTTGGTGTAGATATTGGACTATAAGAACTCCCATAGTTACTGGTGAAAATGTAAAATGTTGCTGGTGTTGTTGTCATATCATAGTGGAAAGATTATGGGAATCTTTCATAGAAAAAAAAAACTAAAGATTTCCACATGTAGTTATTTATTATAGTATTATTTAGTATAATAAAGTAGTAAAGACCAGAAAATTTAAATGTTTCACAATAGAAAAATGTTAAATAAAAAGCATGGTATATCCTTATAATGATTTGATGAAATTTTTATGAAATGGAGGAATTATTTATGAAATAGTGTTATATAGAAAAATCAGAATATTAAACTTTCCTTATTTGGGTAAAAATAATCATAGAAGAAAGAAAATAAGGCAAATTATGATGAAATCATATTGTTTTTACTTCGCCCTCCTTTCTGAATCTTCTCAGTTTTCTACAGGCACAAAGCATCAGTTCTTTTTTTGTTTTTAAAGACAGGGTCTCACTCTGTTGTCCAGGCTGGAGTGCAGTGGCACTATCAGAGTTCACTGCAGCCTCGAACTCCTGGACTCAAGCAATCCTCCTGCCTCATTCTCCCAAGTAGCTATGACTACAGGCATATGCCACCACACCTGGCTAACTATTTATTATAGACACAGGGACTGTGTTGTCCAGGCTGGTCCCAAACTCCTGGCCTCAAATGTTCCTCCCACCTTGGCCTCTAAGGGTGCTGGGATTATAGGTGTGAGCCACTGCCCCCAGCCAGCATTACTTCTGTAGTCAGAAAAAAAATATATTTAAATGTTTATTTTAAAATAATGATTATTTTGAATAATTATATAGGATTGAATAATAATGACTATAAAAATATTTAGTTTAGAATTTGGACACATTATAAATTAAACACATGGAAATAGTTTTACTATTATTATTAGGTACATATTCAGTCCAGTTCTTACTTTCAGCAGGAAAGTACCATGTTTCCCCAAAAATAAGACCTACCCATAAAATAAGCCCTAGCAGGATTTCTAAGCATTTGTGCAATATAAGGCCTACCCCGAAAATAAGACCTAGTGATGGGTGTGGCTATGCAGCATATCTGCACAACCCATGCATTTGGTTGTGGAGCGGTAAAGAAGACGAGCAGCCCTTCCCATCTGCCCCATGAGAGCTCTATTGCTGTACAGGAGAGATTGGGACCAATGGTTCTAAAGGAAATAGAGTAGCAAGAAATTCAGGATTGAATTCAGGATTTGGAGAGTTATGATGATGTTCCAGAAGAAGATGACTAACTATATTTGAGTAAATGTAGATTTTTGTACCATACTTAAAAAAATAACACATCCCCTGAAAATAAGCGCGAGGGTGTCTTCTTGAGGAAAAATAAATATAAGACCCTGTCTTATTTTCAGGGAAACACGGTATGTGAGTTCAGAAGGAACTAGTGATAACACATTCAAAAGATAGCACAGAAATAGAAAATGTGGTATTTTTTAGACAAATGAAGCTTAGCTCTTTAACCACCAAATTTTTTATTTCAAAATTTTGATGGAACTCTTTCTAACATATGCATCATACATTCTTGCTTACTAGACATACGGTGATCAAATCCCTGCTTTCCTACCTCCTAGCTGCATATGGTAGGGGAATTTATGTAATAGCCTCTCAGCCTCTGTTTTCTTATCTGTACTATGGGGGTAATATTATAACCCCTCTCATAGTATTGGTATGTGTGAAAAGTATGAATTATGAAAGTACTAGGTACAAAATAATACATATTAGTTGCTATTAATATTACTACTACAAAGAACACATGACACATTAGGCATTCAATAAATTTAATTGACTCAACTTTTAGTGATATCCTCAAAGTCTTTCTGAGATCTGTAAGACACTTTGCTCTATTACACGGTTTCAGACCACTAACTAATCATTATAGCTCCTCTCTCTGCCTACTTTTTGTTATTCTGCTGCTTAATATCTCCTCCCCTTTATAAGCTGCGCTTCTAATTTTCTGTCAGATAAAAAAGCCTGTTTAAATCAGTAAACTTTCAAGCAGTACCTGGGGTATTTTTATAGAAATTCTATAAATTAACATTTACTCATTATTTAGTCATAAACTTTTTCCTATCCAGTTTGTATCTCTAGGATCACAGCGTTACTTAAGAGAATTTAGTTTGGTAAATGTCTACTTCAAGATTAATAGTAATATTTATATCAGTAAATATTATAAGTGTATTATGATTATAATAGAAATTTAAAAATTGATGAGCATTCAGTTAAATGTCATCAAGTTAAACTTTCAGTGAAGTAAGAAATAGAGCAAACAATAAGTCTTGCGATTGGTACTCAAAACCCTATGAGCAATTGAAGTGATATTAATGCAGAATAATATAGTATGTAAAAATCTGAGTTCTTGGTTCTACTCAAACTCTGCCATTGACTTAGTTCTGTGACCTTGAACAAATAGCTTAAACCTTTTGAACTTACAGTTTCTAATTTATAAAACATAAGAATTGGGCTAGGTTATCACAAAGGGCCTTTTCAGTTCCAAAATTCTATAATCTTTTTGGACCTTCAGCAAGTTTATTGGTACCAATTGTATAAAGAAGGTATGGGAAAGAATATGAACTAAGATGATTTGGTCATTGACAATTGTTCTCAAGTGCTTCTGGGTATAAAGAATTGCATTAAAGTAGAAACTATGAATATTTATTTACAAAAGAAAAAGTATGTGAGACTATCCAGCAAGGATAGAAGAACCACAATGAAGGACATTTTACAAATGACATAGGATTGCAGACTGGCAAGTAGTGAGAATTAGAAAATGTTTATTAATCTGTTTTGGCTATGTTGTATTTGTCAGTAAAGTCACAGAATAGAAACCAAGAAATATTAGAAATAAGAGAAAAATGTGTAGTGCTTATAATAAGAAGAAATTTGATACCATTGAACAAATCATTTAATATTAATACATAATACTATATTTTTTATAAATAAGTATAAAATTTTAAATTTATAGCATCTCCTTAAATATCTTTTGAAAGCCAGTAACCATTTCTTCTGAAAGAAGATTTGATTAAGTCTTTAAGAAAAAACCTTCTAATTCTTATTATTCATGTTCTATTTTCAGATGAAATTGGGTCATTTAGTAAAGTAGTTATTTCCTATAAAAATAATAAGAAAAGGAATTTTATATCTTTCCATCATTTGTGTTTACTTACCCTTGTATGTCAATCAGTTATTGCTCCTTATTTTTTCTGTATCACTTGTTTAAACAAATTTTCAAAATAATTGACATAACATGGACATGGGAAAGTAGTTTCCACAAGAAGAAAAAGCCTTTTTAAACGTATAGGAATTAAGAAATAAAAGTTATCTACAAAGTGCTAGCAAAATTTATTTTTTTATTTTTTTGCTATTGTATTTTCAGGTTTAACTGAACTGAATGACAGTCCAGTTCCCCTGGAACTTGAGCGCTGCAAGTCTCCTACTTCAGGTAAACATGAGTGGTATTTTTCAGGTTTCTGGCAATTCACTGTAGTAATCTATTGATTTATTTTTATAATTCTTATGTGAAATTTATAACTTTAGTAATTAAGTGTAATTCCATTTCCTAAATTTACCATATATTTGATCCTAAAAGTCAAATAGAAATAAATGTAACAATATTTCTGGCCCAAAATGAAATTAACATCAGAGATATAAGTACAATACTTTTAAAAATATTTTAAAGGAAGACATTTCACAGATACATTAATAATGCTTAGTAAGTATCAAATACTATTGATAACATATAGAAACTTTGTCATCTATGGCTATGGCTAAATTAGTGGGAAATAGACACTATATGTCAGGAGCAAATGATACCATTCCTCTGGACCACCATTTGGTAATATGTATATTCATTGAGAAAGAAAAATGATAATATAATATGGTGTGAAGTGAAACATCAAGATAAAGCATGTGCCCATTAAAGTATACCAATAAATTTGTGAGAATAAAGATTCCTAAGAATAAGGCTTTATGGTAAGAATAAAGGCTTTTTTTTACCGTATGTTAAAAAAAAAAAGTGAACAGAAATTTTGGGGTGGTGGGATTATGAGTGATTTGCCTATTTTTTCAAATTTGTATTTATCTGAATATTCTGGCTTTTCTATAATGTATATGTACTATTGTGCAAATTTTTTTTTCTTTTTTTTTTCTTTTTTATTGTGCAAATTTTTAAGCACCAAAAATATTAGATATATCTTTGATACTGAAGTATACATCTGTTTTTATAGAGTATCAAAAAATTGTAATTCCTTTTCATATGCACTATTTTTATTTGAACTTATACAAATTTATAAAAATATAATAATGTCTTTATAAAGCAATGAATTTGGACTTCAAAAAAGTAATTTAGAATTGCAACATTTCTTCAATTCTATTACTAAAAAGTTGTTAGTTCTTTATCCTCATTCTTTGGAAATCTAGGCTACTTGAATCTAGTTGTGTCCTGTAAAAAATTTTATTTTCAATTGTATCTTTTCAATCCTTATTTTATTGCTTTTATTTTGAAAATTTTTCATATACTTATCCTTTATTTTGCATTCTCATTGGCACCATCCTAATTTAGGTATTTATTACACCATAACTAGAGTATCACAAAAATGTTGTAGCAGGTGTCTCTGCTTTCTGTCTCTTCCTCTTACAATTCATTTTGCATGTATTGTTGCAAAACTAATATCCTAAAATATTATTTTGATCATATTTTACCATAGTCATAAATCTTCAATAAAAAATATAATTCAATATCCTATATCAAATTTATGTAATTTAACCTAATTTCAAATTCTCATGCATAATCTGAATTTGATTAATAATGCATATATTTGGTTCAAACATCAAAAAGAAATTGAATAAAATACTTTCCCACTTGTCATGCCCCTATGCATTGTTACTATCCTCCTGAAAAATAAACATTATTATTAGCTTCTTATTTATCCTTCCAGACAATTTGTGTTTGTAAACAAAGAAAACATATATTCTTTCTTTGTGTCCTGCTTTCTGTGCTTTACTATATCATGTACATTTACAGTGTATCTTGTCTTTCCACATTGTTATATAAAGCACTTCCTTTTTTATAGTTGTATAATACTGAATTGCATACATGTACTGTAATTTAGTTTGCTACCAATGTGTTATTATAAACAATGCTGCAATGATTAACCTTGGTACATAATTCATTGTAAATGTGTGTAGATATATCTATGTGATAAATTTTTAAAATTGGAGTTGCTAGGTCAAAGATTATATGCCCGTCTAATTTTTATAGATACTCCCAAATTGCTCACTTTAAGATTTGCAACAGCTTTCTCTTCTTCTAGTGATAATATGCAAACATTGGTTATCAATTTTTTCACAAGTATAATAGGTAAAAAGGCTGTGTCACTGTTTTACATTAATAATTTACCTTGAAAAAAATTTAAAAAAAATAATTTACCTTGCTCATAAGTGATGTTAAACATCTTTTTCTATGTTTAAAAGCTCTTTAATTTTCTTTTTCTGTGAATCATCTATGCATATACTTTGTGCATTTTCTATAGCATCATTTGTCCTTTTCATATCAATTGGTGGAACCTCTTCATAAACTAAGTAGATTATCCCTTTACGACATGATATCTAAATATTTTTCTCAATTTAATTTTACTTATAGTGTTTTTCTTCCTTGAGCAATTTTTTTGTAATCAGACATCATTATTTTCTTTAAGGCTCTTCTTTCTTTATGCCCAACAACTATTGGGATTATTTATCTACTCTTTAAAGTTTTAGTAAAATTCCCCTATCAAATCACTTACCCCTTATAATTTCTCATTTTGTATATTTATATTTTCTCTTTAAAGAAAAATATTTTCATTTTTGGTATTCTATTTTTCCTTAATTGGGCTATCTAACAATTGATCTATTTATCTTTTATTTGGCCTCAAGTAATAGGTCTAACTTTTTTGTTTTTTAAGTTATTAATTTTTGCTTTGATCTTTATTAGTTACTTCTGCTTTCCTTTGTCTCATTTTATTTTTCCCTTTTCAATTTTTTGTGGTATATGCTTAATTCATTTATTATTTATTACATATCAATATAAGTATTCAATGATAAATTTCCCTTTGAAATATACATTAAATGTATCACATAGTTTTCAATAAGTTGAGATTTTATTGGCATCATTTTCTATACAGTAGGCAATTTGCTTATATTTTTTGACCCAAAAGTTAAAGTAAATATGTAACATTAAATAGCTATAAATGTTACCTTGTTATGTTATTTAAGTCTTTAAGATCCTTACTTACATTTTGATTATTTTACTTGTCCATAATGAAGAATAGGTGAATGAAAATATTCTATTAATAATGTATTTATGGCTCTTTTTCCCTGTATCTGCTATGTTTTTATTTTTAAGAATATTCATGCTGTCAGGCCAGGTGTGGTGGCTCACGCCTGTATTCCTAGAACTCTGGGAGGCTGAGGGAGGAGGATTGCTTGAGCTCAGGAGTTCTAGACCAGCCTGAGCAAGAGGGAGACCCGTCTCTACTAAAAATAGAAAAAATTAGCCAGGCATGGTGATGCGTGCCTGTAGTCCTAGCTACCCAGGAGGCTGAGGCAGGAGGGTCGCTTTGAGCCCAAGAGTTTGCGGTTGCTGTGAGCTAGACTGGCACCACGGCACTCTAGCCCAGGCAAGAAAGTGAGACTCTGTCTCAAAAAAACAAAAAACAACAACAAAAAAAAGAATATTCATGTTGTCTTATGTTTAAATATTCAAAAAGTATATCCACATTTTAAATTACAACCTTTACCATTAATCACCATTGTTTATTTCATATTATATGTTGTTCACCTGAATTTCACCTTGTTTACTGTTATTACCATAGCTCTTGGGTATTTTATTTGGAATATTTCTATATACCTTGGCCCTACCTATTTTTGGGTAAATATTTTTTACTGAGGTTTAGTATAAAAGCCTCATAGTACATAAATCTAAAGGATTCAGCTAGATTAGCTCTTACAAATGAATATACTGTGTAAACAACACCTAGATCAAAATAGAGAACATTATTAGAAAGAACCTCAGAAGCCTCCCCTATGTACCTCTCAGCCTCTAACCTCTACAAAGGTACCTACTATTCTGACTTTAATCACTATATATTATTAGTTTTGTGGGTTTCATCACCATGAATTAGTTTTGCAGGATTCTCACATGAATGGAATTATACAGTATTCATTTTTTGTTTCTTGCTTATTTTGCTCAACATATATATGATTGTCTATGTTGCATGATTTTATTGCTATATAATATTCCATTATATGAATATGCCTCAAATTATTTATGTAGTTTATTGTTACTGAACATTTAGGTAGGTTTCAGTTCAGGACTATTGTAAATAGAGCTGATATGACCAATCTTGTACCTTTTTAATGCAAATATTAATTCATTTCTGTTGCATATATATCTGGCAGTGGAATTTTTGGGTCATAGGGTATGTATATGTTCAGCTTTAGTAAGTATTTCCAATGAATTCTCTATAGTGGTTGCACCAATTTTACTTTTACTGACTATAAGACTTCCATTTATGCTGCATACTTGCCAATGTTTGATATTGGGGTTTTCTTTTCCCATTTTAGTCATTTTGAAGTGCATGTAGTAATATCTCATTGTGGAATTTAATTGAATTGTGTAATCCTAATGTCTAATGATCTTAATGATTTCTTATGTTTATTGGCTATTTTAATATTCACTTTTATAAGATATGTAAGGGTTTTTGCTCATTGTTATTGGGTTGCCAATTGTTTCTTATCGATTTCTTATTTATAGGAATTCTGTCTATATATGTGTGTATATGCTGGATAGAAGTCTTTTGTTGGATATTCATAGTGCAAAATATCTTATCCCACTCTGTAGCTTGCTTTCATTCTCTTAAAATTAGTCTCTTAATGGGAAGTTTTTTATGCTAATATAATTCAATTTACCAATCTTTTCTTTATTAGTGCTTAATGTGTTTTGTTTAAAGAAAACCTTTATCCACCCCAAGATCATAAAGCTATTTTTCCATATTGTCTTCTAGAAGTCTTATTGTTTTACCTTTCATATTTAAATTGAAGTTCCATTAGGAATTTATTTCCACATATAATGTGAAAAAGGAGTCAAGGTTTACTTATACCATTTAGGTATCCAATTGATAAGCACCATTTATGGGGAAATTATCATTTCCCCCACTGTACTAAAGTGGTACTTTTGCCACAAATTAATGAACTTTACCATATGTGTGTGTTTACAGACTTTATGTTCTATCCCATTGGCATGTTTATCTATCATTTATCCGAAACCACACTGTTTTAATTGCTGTAGTCTTCTGGATCCTTGAGTGAGGCCTTTTGATTGAATCCAAATTTTACAGAACAAATGCTTTCACTAAAAGAGGCCACACTTAGGGATCAGGAGGGCCACACGTGGCCTTAAGGCCA